AATGTCACTTTCTTACATCATTCTTATACATTATTTCGTATTTCCTCTAAATGCTTATACATGATTATATAATACTTAACTAAGTCCCACTATGCATAATAATGAATATAACCAGCGAAGGACAGATAGAGCATCGGAAGATGGCCTATGCAAAGAAGTAGCGCATCTGTGTACTCAATTATCACTCCCTTACACATATCCTAAATACTATCCCCTCATCAAACCTCGTAATCATCCATAATGGAAGACCTTTCCACCCCAAGTCATAATCAGACTTACACAAGGCCTAATACATTTGTATGTCAAATAACTCACATGAAGGTGTAGGGATGGCCCACGCAAAGGTGTAGCGCATCACACCACTGATGACCCACGCAAGGGTATAGCGCATCACCTCACTGATGGCCCACGCAAAGGTGCAGTGCATCAAATCACCAATGGCCCACAAAAAGGTATAGCGCATTAAACATATACAGTGGTAGTCAAAAGTATTGCATCACTGGATCACAAAAATTAAGATAGTAATATATCACGATATAAAATTTGTAGTGTCATGAAATACTATTATGTGATTCATCATATGTAAAGATATTTAATAATATAAATTTTTTCACATAACAAATAAAAAAAAATTTTTTTTTTATTCTTTATTGTAGGTCATTCATGCGATGCATTTTTTTTACTGTTCCCTTTTTTTCACCTCATACATATCAAACATAAAAAAAACTTGATAGATCATCAATCACCATCTCGTATAGCCTCCATTCACCTTGATTACATTGTTTATATGGTTGGAATATTGGTAATTAAATTCATACATACATCAGCTTCAAGTTCAATCCAAATCATTTGAACCACTTCCCATAACTGATCTTGTGTTCTAACAGGAGTCTCTAAACATCTTAAATGGCAATCTATCTCATTTCACAGATGCTCAATCGGGTTTAAGTCAGGAGACTGAACCAGCAATTGAGCATATTAATACCTTTCTCTTCGAACCATTGGTTTGTTGTATGGGTGGTATGCTTTGAATCTTTATCCTGTTGAAAAATGATCCTTTCTTATCCATTTTATGCCACTTGATAATTTCCAAAAGATCTTCCTCCAAGATTTGTTTGTATAGAGCACTATCCATCATTCCATAGATATGACATATATTGTCAATACCATCAAATGAAAAATATCCCACACCATAATTTTGCCATCTCCATATTTACTATAGTTTTAATATGATTGTCTCGCAATGGTTCCTTTGGTTATTTTTAACAATATTCGCAACCCTCTGAGCCAAAGATTATAAATTTAAACTCATCAGACCAGATAACCTTATTCCAGTCTTTACTGTCTAAGATTGATATTTTTTTGCAAATTTAAGATGTGCATATCTGTGTTTTTCAGGTACGGCTTTTTACGTTTAACTTGTACACCCAATCCATTTCGATGCAAAGTTCTCTTTACTGTGCTTTGGCTAAACTCAATTTTTCTTCTGTTATAGCTTTTTCTGAATAACATTTACATTCGTACATTTGCCTGTTTTAATAAATCATAACACTTTTTGCTCAAAATGATTGGTAAGAAGTCTTGAAGATCCTGATTTTGGTTTGTCTTGAAAGGTACCAGTTTGTTCTTTATATTGTTTGATTCTTATGACTGTAAATTGTGATACAATTTCACGAGAAGCTATGACTCATGAAGGATACCTTTCTTCGAAGAGGGCATAAATTCTGGCTCTTTTGGGGGTGATAAGTAAACCATTATAATAGAAAATTCGAGAGTAGATAGTGTAAGTAGCAAGAAATTATTTTTATATAGCCTATGGATTGTTTTGAAATGTGTTAAGGCACGTACTAGATGTTAATATTTACACTGACTCAAAAAATTGTCCCAATAATTAAAACTTTTTTGTTTATAGCATATATCTTTTGAGCGACTGATTTAA